AAAAAAAAAAAAAAAAAAAAACTGACCTAAAAAGTGTTATAACCATTTATAGGCAGAAAGGCAAAAGTGAATGTTCTGAGAACATTTGAAAATGCCAGCTCCTTCCAGCCTTAAAAATCTCCATGAGTGCAGCATTACTAGTTAAACACAGATATCTGTATTGTGTAGAGCAATCACTCCAAATAAAAACGTGTTCTCTGTATCAAAGAGAATTCTGACAAAGAATATATTAACCAAAGTCCAAGTGTCTTAGCTTGAAGGTGATAGTGAAAATTTCATCAGTTAAATGGAGGAAGCACAATAAGAGGAGGGGAAGGCACTGAACTCTTCCATGTGGTAACCAGTGACAGGACCCAAGGGAATGGCCTGGAGCTGTGCCAGGGGAGGTTTAGGTTGGATATCAGGAAAAGGTTCTTCATCCCGAGGGTGGCTGGGCACTGGGACAGGCTCCCCAGGCACAGTGGTCACAGCACCAAGTCTGACACAGTTCAAGATGTGTTTGGACAATGCTCTCAGGCACAGGGTGTGACTCTTGGGGTTCCTGTGCAGGGTCAGGAGCTGGACTTGATGATCTTTGTGGGTCCCTTCCAACTCAGCATATTCTGTGAATGTTCTGGTATGGAGGCTGGAAGGAGCTATGAAATTTATTGGTTTTTTCATTCATTTGGTGTCAGAGGAACGTGGTAAAACCCAATTTATAAATTATGTAGGTAGCTAATCTATTTTTGTCTTCTGGACAACTAAAAGACATAAATATAGAAAGTATTCTGACAGTGAATTATTCTTCCTTTGCCATTACTCTGAGCATTTGTGGAACCCGAGAGTTTTGCTGACACAAGAGAATTATACAGGCTCCCCCAAAGTAGTGCAGTCATTTGCTGTCACCACAAGGCATGTGATTTTTCTTCTTTCCCTTCACTTTAATATACATTACAATTTTTTTGTTGGAAGAAACTAGAAAATGGCAAAGGACAGGAGAAGCATTGTTCTTGTCTCCAGATGGATTTCACCTGGGACCATAGGAAGTAAACCTTTCAGCTGGTCTAATCCTTTACACTTGTCTTGTAGGACCTTTAGATTTCTCAGGGAGAAGGCATGCCATTCCTTCATCTGTTTATTTTATACAGCATTTTGTTAGAAATTTTCAGCTCTGTTAATATTTTGGACCTTTTATAGCCCCTTTATGGTAATATTTTAGCTCATCGCTGTGTTCTTTATTTCATACATGCAGGTCAATTAGTGTGAGGTCTCTCATGCAGAGGTTGCATGATCTCTCAAAGCACTCTAAAATAATAATTTCTATTCACCCCCTGTTCAATAAGATGGTGGAAACCACACAATGTGTTCAGTTTCTTTCTTCTCAAAGAAATATTAACTCAAAGAGGAAAGAGCATTATCCCACTGTATCTGTGAGACAGATCACTGCTAAGCAGAAGAAATACCACAACAAAACACTCATTCCTGAAGTGCTTTAGGGCTCCAACCAGTATTCTACAGTGAGTATGTGCCAAGTCTTTATTCAGGCAAACTAGATAATCTGCATTGCAAGATTCAAGTGGAAGAAGCACTGAGGCACCTGCTCTTTGTTTGCCTGATGGAATAGAGAAACTTGATTTCCAAAACCAAAAAAAGAAGAAAAGAGATGTTGGCCCTGGATACTGACCATCCCTGGAGCATGTGTTTGAGCATCCAGTAATAAGAGCCTCCATAATTCACTGTGGGCTGCACAAGAGGGAAGATTTTAAGCAGATTTTTTTTTGCCTTCTCCAACAGATGTGTTGACAATCCATAAGCATATGGCTCTTGTTCACAGGAGCTATTTGCCCCCAGCTTTAATGTTATTTACAGGCAGTTTCCTAGTCCCCGTTTCTCTCATTTCTTAACTATATGTGTTTCCTCAAGAGAAAATGGTAATAATCCTCTAAAACAGAAAATGGATAGAATTTAGTCTAGTCAAAATTAATAAGATCCTTCAGATTTGAGTGTTATATATTTCATTTAAATCATTTGCTAATGAACACTGACAGAAACAGACCAGTGTTGGTCACGGGGAATTCACTTTGGTTTTCTCTTCTCTGTTGGTGCCCAAATTATCTGCAAAAAGTGGAATTTTTTACTTGTTTTTTTTTTAATTACTTTTTAAATCAAAGATATTATTGGATTATTATTGCTTTGTTGGGACAGATTGAATAATCAAAGCTGCTTCTGTTTGCAACTTATAAAATTATTCGAGTTAACATCACAGATGCTAAGAGACAAAGACTTCACAACAGAGTCTGGAAATCTCTCTTGCCTCACAGCAAGAATATTTGTTGTACTTTGAGGCCCCAAGAGTGTGAAAACTTGTCTTCAGTGGGTCTTAATATTGCAAAGGCAGGTTATTTGTAGGTTAGAGCTTCAAGGTTTACCCAGAGAGTGAAAAAGTTACCTCCTACTTTCCTTACTGGATCCTGTCAGCTCTAGAGACTTAACTTTCTTAAGGGTTCACTGAGTAATCTGATGTGTTTGACAGCCCAAAAAAGCATCAAATAAAAGTCATCTTAACTATTTCATAGCTAGGTAATGAATAGGAGCAAAAAAAGCCTGGTTGTAGACATGATGTGCCTCCAGTACATCATCAACAAAACTTTGACTTTAAATGACTTTTCCTAAGATAATGCAACTTTATAACAGAATTAAAAAGAAAAAAAAGAAAAAAAAATAAAGGAAGTCTTTATGAGTGATACACAAAAGTAGGGCTCAGGAGACAAGCTAAAAACTTAATTGCTTCTGCAGCTTTTATGAGTGTGATTCATCTGCTATACCTTTACCTACCTGTGAGTTAAGTCTTTAATCTACACTGGTTATCCAAGGCCCTTCTGTGAGATAGACAGGTATTTCTCGTTCAGCCAACCTATCCCAAATTATGACTCTTTATTACTTTTTTTTTGACAGGAGAGTGAATTTCTCCCTAAACACATAATTTAGATGGATTCAGCTCACCCACCTTCATCATTCCCTTGACATTGTAGCATCAAGGACATTTTTTCCACCTTTTCCCCTCTGGCAAAGCTTTTGGGGATACATACAGTATCACAGGGGTGCATATACATTACTGTCTATATACAAACGCCAAGATAAAAGCCTACAATAAATGAATAGTAATTACATTTTGTATTTGCCTGGTCATTCTTCTTATTCTAATCTTCAGGTCTTTAACTGAAGTTCATATAGTGTCCTAGAGCATGGTGTTTTCACTTAGAATAATTAAACTTACTCTTAGAACATTTGGGGCCCAGAACACTAACCTGTTGTATGACAAAATTACTGAGTAATTCTTGTTTGCTTAATGATGGACTTTGAGGTGAGTGGCAAAATCCCACAAGCCTGGTTAGCTGATCAGCCTGGGTTGCTAGGTTGATTGACAAACTTTTGAGGAAGTCTGGTCCCATACATACTGGCTTAGTATTATATTTGCAAATAATAGCACAGTACTCAATTTTGTGGTCCAGTATTTGCAGTTCTAGACTCATCAACACTTCCCATGAACAACCATACTGTTAATGTCTTGAACAAGACTAGTCTTGTTGATCTCATTTTCTTTCTTTTCCTTCTTGCAAATAGCCTTGTCTTGCTCCTGTGTGTGATTGTAAGCTGTTCTGTGATCAAATAAAATAAACAAACTTAATTGCCTTAATTTTGCTTTGCTTTTTTTCCTTTCAGTGGCTGCATCAACTGCTAATTCCACAGCTGGTGCGGCCATGAATTCTTTGACTTCTCTGGGTACTCTCCAAGGACTGGCTGGAGCCACTGTTGGACTGAATAATATTAATGCACTAGCAGGTACCGTAAACAGTGAGTATTTATTGCTGTGGTGGACAGCCTTCCCCAATAATCATGCCACAAAATCTATCAATTGTAAAGTGATAATATGATTTTTAATCTTTACACCAAATAAGGGGGTCAAGTTAGTCAGTTCCATACTACTACTACATATGTAGTTCTCTGGAGTCTTTTAGTTTCACACAGTTTATTCTGCAAAGTGAATTTCTTTGTGTCCCTGCATAAAGACTCCTCTTGTTGCAGTACATTCAGAAATTAAAAGAATTGTCACCAGGGATTTGGGTTGTCTAGGTTATAGAAGAGGCTCCTTTTTCATTGAGGGAGTCTGACAGCAGGTGGATCACCCCAATGTACAAAACCTGACTCAGAAATGTAGTGCTAAGAAAGATGTTAGCCATAGAGGCAGTCCTTTAAAACATCTGTAAGAATTATCTAATTGACCTGAGAGCAACATGCTTTAAAAATGAAGGCAAGTCTTTGGCTTTTAATTGGCAAGTGTAGGAGAAAATGCAGTCAGTCACCTGTAATGGCAGAGCACACACACCCATCCTATGACATCTTAACAAACCCTGGCATCTCCAGCTAAGAAGATGCCAGTAGTTGTTAGAACATTCTTCTTTGTTCTTAGCCATGGTCAAGATTTTCTTGAAGAAGAAGGATTTTTTTATTATTGTTTCCGCTGTGATGACTTCACCTTTGCCTGGAACAGAAGAGATTTGCCCAGCTGCATTTTTCCCCCTCCCTCTTTTTTTCTTTAGCTGCTGTTGCTCCTTGCATTTCTTTTTGCAATGCAAGGAATCTATTTGGTCATTGCCAGCCCATGACCCATCATAATGTACCCTCAGGAATGGATGTCCTCCTCAGTATCTCTTGCTCACTCTGATGCTGTGCATGATGTCCTTTCTGTCACTGTTTCTTGGCTGCTCACCCAATCTTTTTGTTCTGTGATCTCTGGTTGGCATTGTTGGGAGCTGGGAAGGAAGGGGGCTTATGGATGTCCATGTAGCAATGTTGAATGGTTGCATGGGGTCTCGTGTAAAACAGGACTTGCTTCTGGCAAGGATATGTGCATTTCACACAAAACAACCTCTTTGTAAATACAACTCAAGGACAATGTAAGTAAAATTAGTATTAGGTCCCAAAATGGCAGATATTAGTTTCCTTACTTCTTATTCCATTAGTGTCAAATCAAGTCACTGAAAATGGCATGCATAGAAAGCTAACTTACCTCCTCTCCTCCTGTGAGCTCTTGTAGTAAGAGAGCTACCCTGTCATGAGTAAGAAATCATTAAATGTCCTTTCTGATTAACAGTCATTGTGCTTCACTTGGTGTATAAAAAAATCACAATATCAAGACCAAAATATGACATCCCAGTCCTTCCCCTCCGCAAGTGTTAAGAACCCAGGCACAGTGGAGCACTCCAACATAATGTACCAAAACCAAACAGGAGTGAATCCTGTGATCTCATTGTGTGGGAGCCCTTCTATTGCACTCCTTTTAGCACCCCTTGCTAGGCTGCAAGCAAAGAGTTTACCTTTTCTCAGCAAGTATTTTGAGGTGATGTGTGTGCAAACTTATATGCATGTGTCATTTTAAGTATTAATGATGTATTCACAACCTGGTACCAAATTTCAGTTTGTTTTAAGTCACCATTGCTTCCATGGATTTGTACTGACAGTGACTGCAGTCCTAAATCTTCTTCATGGATGTTTCTATGGATATGTGTATAGTGCTTACAAAATGTATGTGGGTATGTCTGTCTATATATATACATACACGAGAGAGAGCTAAAGAGGGGAACTGCTTTCCCATGACACAGCTCAGCATTAGGGCACTGTTTGCCTCCAAAGGGAATTTGGTTATCACTTTCTGGTACTCATGATGCTGATGATAGTGGAGCATTGCTCAAAATAACCTCCCCTGTCTATTTTAATGAAAATTTGGGGTTTTTCCTGATGACTGTGATTCAGACATTCACACTCAAACCCACCTGGGAGATTGCCTTTGGGAAACCTCATGTCAGTAAGTCTGATGTTCTACACTGACATGGCTTTTACCATGGTCATAAGTGGGCCACTATAATATTCACTGGCCATGGACATTCCTGAAGTAACTGTGCAACAAATTGGGAATTGAGTGATGTGCTTCTAGTTGGGAAATTAGAAAATCCAAAGCACAAGTCAAGCAGAGCTTAACCCAAAAATTAATCAGAAGGTGGCACTGGACTTGGGCATTGATTTATACAGAGGTTTGAAGAAATGCTCTTCTGCCTAAGCCATGTCCTGCATGTGAGAATCACGTGGAGAATGTCTTCTATGCTGAGCTCACTAGAAGACTTTTATCTGATTTTTCGGTCCTGTCTGGGTCTGTGAAAAGAAGCTGTGCTATGGAGGCTGATAGTGATGTCATTGTAGAGAGAACCATTTTAAAAAGATGTCTGGAGGCCTTAAATAAAGTGGAGTATGGTAAGTTTAAGTGTCTCCATGGTTTTGGCAGTAGTTATACCTAAGTGTGGAGATTCAGTCTTCTCTCGGATTTTCTTGAAGCACCTAAAACTTTAAATGGGAAAACATTTGACTGTCTGCTTTGAGCACATAAATTTAAGAATTCTAAGTAATAAAAAGAATTATGAGGAAAAAATTACTAAAGAGAGAGGAAGCAATTCTTTGCAATAAAGAAAGAAGACCATACTTTCAGGATACTGGACAGCTATGGCACAGTATTTGTGTGTGACCTCAGGGCAGTCACTTAGCCTTTTTGCCCCCTTATTTACATCTGTAAAACAGAGATAAAACTATTCATGATAGATTTGAAGGTGTTTGAAAAGCACTTTGAGAGACCTTTGGACTTGCCAAGCTTTGTTGCTTTTGTATTATGTAGAGAAACTCAGAAAAGTAGAAAGGCTCCAAAAGGTTATTTCACAGAAGGGAGGAAGGGACCAGAGTTCAGTGTATGACTGAGGTGCATTGGTAGAGATAATAAAGAGATGGCAGAGATGTGTAACAGCAGCTGGGCCTTGCAGATTTCATAAAAATGTAACAGAAAAAGTGTTGGAAGCTCTGTTTTGCTCAGGAGGGAAGTGAATGCCACACGTGGGCTGTGGCAGCAGTAGCTGTGCCCTTCCCAGGAGCAGAGCTGTGGGCTGGGTTGTCTGGGGGAAAGAGAGGGAGGATGCTGCCCACTGGAACACAAAGCATGTTTATCTAATAGGCCAATGACTAACCAAAGATAACATGGTATCCTAATGCTACCTCTGTTATCAAGTTATTTCAACACTAATAAAAAGAGAGAGATACAGGCTGCTTTATCAGGAGCCTTTATTTTAGCCAGTCCTATGTATACACCCATGCAAGCAATGACAGAAACCTAAGTATAAAACATCAGAGGAGACTACAGTCAGCCTCAGGATCAAATTATTAGTAGTAGTAATATATATAATATATAATATATATTATATATATTATATATTATATATTATATATTATATATTATATATTATATATTATATATTATATATTATATATATCATTTATTATAAAAATAATTTATTATTATTGTTGTTATTGTAATATTTTGAATGCCACTCTATCACTCCCCCTCCTGAACTGGACAGGGGAGAGAAAATATAACAAAAGGTTTGTGATTGAGGTAAGGGCAGGGAGAGATCACTTACCAACTACCATCACAGGCAGAACACTCCTGACTTGGGGAAATTAGTTTAATTATTACCAATCAAATCAGAGTAGAATAATTAGCAATGAAACTGAATCTTTAAAACACCTTCTCCCACTCCTACCTTCCTCTCAGGTTTAACTTTATTCCTGAATTCTTCACCTATTTCCCCAGTGGTGCAGGAGGACAGGGGTCAGTTCATCCCCTGCAGCTCCTTCCTTCTCGGGATTGGACTCCTCACACTGCTCCTCTGCTCCAGCATGGGGTCCCTCCCACAGCAGAGAGTTCTTCACTTGCTCCTTCAGTGTGGGTTCCTTTCCACAGGCTGCAGCACTCCACAAATTGCTCCATCGTGGGTCTGCTCCATGGTGTTGGTCCACAGGCTGCTCCAGAGCTGGTCCCCCACAGGGTCACAAGTATTGACAGCAAACCTACTCCCGTGCAATCCTCTCTCCACAGGTGCTGCCAGCCCTGCCTTCCCACGGGGTCACAGCCTTCTTTGGCCATCCACCTGCTTTGGTGTGGGCTCTTCCATGGGCTGCAGGTGGATCTCTGCACCCCCTGGGCCCCTATGACCTGCAGGGCACAGCTGCTGCACCAGGGGCTGCAGGGGAATCTCTGTTCTGACCCCTGGAGCAGCTCCTGCCTCTCCTTCTCCACTGACCTTGAAAAGCTGTTTCCCTCACGCTTTCTCACTCTTCTCTTCTTTAGCTGCAGTTACCATTGCACAGGGTTTTTTTCTTCTTCTTTACCATGTTACCTCAGAGGTGCCACCACTGTCACTGTTGGGCTCAGCCTTGGCCAGTGGTGGGTCTGCCTTGGAGCCACCTGGCATTGGCTCTGTAGGACACAGGGGAGGCATCCAGCAGCTTCTCCTTTATTGCCCCCACTACCACCCAAACCCAATACAGTTTTATAACTGGAACCATTATACAAGAAATACCTGGGTCTGTTGAGCTCTGACAGGGATTTTTGTTCAGCCAGTACCTCCCATCAGGGTACAGCGATGCTCTGAAGTGGGGTGGAGGAGAAAGAAGTCTTCAAAGTGAGACATTTTATTAAGGAAAGGCTAAGAATATCACATCTCTGTCAAGTGTTTAGTCACACAAATTATAGAAAGATCAAAAGGTATAATTTATGCAGTACAATTCTCTTAATTGGCACAGACTCTGGTGGAGCCAAAAAGGTGCCACTTGAGCAATTGTCCTGATTATTGGAGACTCATAGGAATATGCTTTTCAAATCTACATAAGAAGCAGAAGGATACTGGGGTCAGCATCTTTATCCTCCTCTGTCAATGCTGGATAATCCCTTGCAGTATTCTTCCTGTATCTAAATTACACATGTGATAAGGTTTCTGCCATCTTCCTTGAAGATTGTTTCCCAGTCTAATAGATTTAATTATTAATTTACTATAAAGTGTCCTCTGCTTAATTTCCCCACTTTTCATCAATTTACATACCAACCCTTATTATTGCTCTGAAGTTAAACCCTTTCCTTCTCTTTACTGTTCCTCACTTTGGGGTCTTAATATGACACCACCAGTCACACCTTTACCCACCATTTTACCAATCAAAACATTACACAATGTCTAAGAAATGATTGCTGGTGATTCTGGGTCCCCCTCTCCCCCATTTTTCTAGTGACTGATCTTCTGTACCTCTATGGGCCTGTTAAACCCTCTAAGTTGTTTGTGAGCTGTTCACCTAGAAACTGGGATAGCTTATTGTGCAGAAAACATGCCCTGACTCAGTCCTGATGGTCTCTCAGTGCTCAGGTTGACGCAGGTTGGGTGTGTGGAAGATGAGCAGGGCTCTGAACCCTGCCATGCTTTCAAGTTCCAGCAGCAAATTCACTTTTTCTGGAATTCCAGAAAGACATGCTAGCACTGTTAACTTCAACATAACTCATTTAGGAGCCATGCTGAGCAATGGAATCAAAAGAGAGAAGCTGTAGCTCAGGAGTTTGTCCATCATCAAATCAGAGTAGTACAACTCCTTATGTAGCCCACACTGTTTGCACGGATGAGGGATGTTATTTTCTGCACAGCTAGCAATCCCATCTGAAATTTCCTCTTTAGCAGCCATCCCAGTTAAATTACTCTGTTACTTATGAGGATTTAGAATTGCTGTAAGTTAAAAAAAAAAGTGACTCTGCTTCCCTTGTGATGAAAAACATTGCTAGAAATAAATGCTTTTGTTTCTTCATGAAAAATGCCTAGTCTGGATGAAGTATTTTTAGTCATTCTGTGTGTGCTGCTGTTCATCTCTTGTGGAGATGAGAGAGACTGGAAGAGGAGGAGGATGGAAGCAAAGAGCATCTCAGTCCATCTTTCTACCCCAAGCCTAAGGGACAAAGCCTGTAATTGTACAGAGGGTTATAATAGAATCATTTAGGTTGAAAAAGACCTGTTTTAAATGCAGTTAATCAGAGTTCTCTGCTTACTGTGTATAAACACTTCTGATATGGTGTTGTGATGGCTGTTGCTGAAGACCCTGGTCAGAGAGAGCAGGTTTCCTCACGGACTGCTTTTCCCAGTGGCCATCTCACAAGGACACAGGTCAAACTGGTCCCACACTGCCAGCCTCAGACACCCAGAGCAGAAGCACAGGTGTCAAGGAGGATGAGCAGAGAGGCTCTCGGGAGCACAGAGCTGTAGTACTTGCCAGTAGCAGGCTGCATGCGAGTCCATTTGACTGTGCAACCCTTGTGCTGAAGTGATCCTGATGCCAAAGTCGTGTTTCTTTGTCCTCAGTCCCATTTGGTGAAGTGCCGAGCTGCATGCACCGCTGTCGTTGTCAGTGTCGTATAATACCAACGACTTTCGGAAAGCACTAATGAACAAGTGCAATTTCTTTTCTCTATTGTTGGGTTTTTTGTAAAGTTGCTCAAATGCTCTCAGGTATGGCGGCCCTGAACGGAGGACTCGGCGCCACAGGCCTGACGAACGGCACGGCCGGCACCATGGACGCGCTCACCCAGGCCTACTCAGGAATCCAGCAGTACGCGGCCGCCGCGCTGCCCACCCTCTACAGCCAGAGCCTGCTGCAGCAGCAGAGCGCCGCGGGCAGCCAGAAGGAAGGTAAGTGCCCACGCCACAAAACCCAGGCCATGCTGTGCCGTGCGTCGGTTTCCTTGTTTCCAAGGAAAACAGCCGTGCCACGCGTCTGTTTCCGTGTTTCCGAGGCTTCACGGAAGGCCTCGGGTGGTCTAATCTGTGATTTCCTCTTCCTCCAGTTTCCTCCTGCTTAGCACTGTCACCTTCTTTAACCTCTAATGTGTTTCACTTTTCAGCCATCTGTCCTCCGAGTTACACTTTGCCACCCATCCCTTCCATATGTAAAAGCATTTACCAGCTACCACATAAAAAAGCGCTGTTAACAAAAGTCATCCCTCTGTGGATGCAGTTTTGTCTTCTGGTTTCCATTTTCTGGAATAGTGGAGTTAATCTGATTAAGGTTTTGAGCTAATGACAAGATCCGCTTTCACTTTGAGTGGTTCTTTGCTTAATTGTGGGTCTTGTGAGGAAGCAGCTAAGTGAATGATTGCTCCCCTCTCCCCACACCAACAGCAAATAAACCTCAGGAAGTTATTGCTAAGAATAAATGAACACTAATTACAAGGTGTTTAGGAAAATGAGGCTACCCTTTTCCCCTCTTCCGTTCCCCTTCATACTTCCCAGGCATTTTGAGGGGGGCTGTTTCTCTTTTCATTACTTTCTCCTGTCCTAATTTCCAGCTAATTCTGCAAAGACAGGAAAATGCTGCATGCTTTCTAATACTATATGTATATTGTCTCTATTTCTCTTGCTTTGAAAATAAACCTAGTATAATATCCTCAAGAGAAATCTTTTTTATCCTCTTTTGAAATATCTTGTACAGTTATGGGATGTGTTTCCTAGGAAGACAAATATGGCATTCCCTCTGCTAGTTATTGTATAGGGACACTGGAGTTAAAATGTATATTTTCTCTGAAGCCTTTCCTTCATTTGGTGCTAAAAGCTTGAATTATTTAAAATGAAAAGGGATTTTTTTAATCTTGTTTTCCATTTTTTTTGTTTTTTGCATTTATCTTTCACCTCAGGCCTTTTGGTCAGTGACAACAGACTATTTGACACCAGAAAAAAATTGTTTATTTGGTGTCATTACAAGATACATAGTGAAGGACAGCTTGATTTTTTTTCTAACTATTTTAATTTTTTTTCTGCTCAGAAACGTTGAAATCAACTTTAGGCTTATTTTTTTATATTCATTGATTGCCAGCAACCTTTTTAAAACATGGCAATTTTGTTATATATCTTGTATCTGTTAGTAGGTGGTTAAGTTCGAGTGAGTGGATTCCACTACAGAATACTGACAAAAATGTTTTGTCTATTACCATGATATCTGTTGGAATTGTGAAGAGTCTGGAGTGGCTGAGGATAAACAAGTACCAGAGAAAAGTGCTATATAAATATTAAATGCTGGAGCACAGTGAACTGCCTCGTGCATATGCTCTTAAATATTATTTAGTCATTTTCCCCCTACTATTTCAAAGAATATTATTTGCTGGGAATGATAGTTTACTTGTGACAAGAAGAAAAAAGTTCCGAGTGACAAGTGTTTTTCATCTTTTTTTTTTTTCCTGAGGACAGAATACTTTTTTTTTTTTTCTTTTTTCTGTCTAATTCATATATCTCCTCCTTTTTGGGCAAACTCTGCTACCTTTTCCTTCTGAGTGAGGCTCCGTGGCTCTGCTGCAGAAGGAACTCTGTAAATTTGAGGAATGCTTTCCTCTTCCTCTCCAGAAAACCAAGGGCATCACATCTGAGGCACATTTAGGTTCCATTAAGCAAGGGAACATGTAATCAGGCTATTCTAGGTGTGTTTTTAGCAGAAATGCTTGTTCCCTTTGTATACCACTTACACTGCTGGAGCCTGCATGGGGAGCCCACATCTGGCTCCATCACACTCTTCCTTGCATCTTTGCTCATTTCCAGTGTGTTGCTATTGAGCTAGGGGAAAAAATAACCTATCAGGACTAGGATTAATGTTTTAACCTACACCTTTAATAATATGTATCTCAAATCTTGTCTCTAAGAAAAATATTCAAAGCACCTTTGAGTTTACAACTTTCTTTGCAAACTCAACTAATTCTAAAGCCACTTAATTTCAACCCAACTACCTGATTTTGAACTTCTTTAAAAGACTTGCTTTACAAAGGTTCTTCCAGGAGACAGAGCTTTCTATGAAGGATCTATATTAAAAAAAAAAAGCTCATTTTGAAATGAGTCAGTACAAATTTAATTCTGAATGTCTTTTTCTCACTGACTTCACTGACATTTAAGTCACAAGATGGGTTTTGTCTTACTATTTTTATTCCTATCAGCACCATTTTCTTGCCCTTTGAGTTTAAATCTGTGGTACTCAAATCTGAGCTCACCTCCTTCCATTTCCATAAGTTCCTGCAGCTGGAATTAAACTGACAAACCCATGCAGGTGTTAGAAGCAGCAGAAGACTCCTTGTGCAGTTCTTGGGGTATTTTGAGAGCCAATACATTCTGTACCTGTTTTCCTAACCTTAATTATACTGAAAGACACTCATATAAATTGAAAAAAGAGAATGAATTTAACTACTTCTGTAGTAGAGTTATGAAATAAACACTTTTCAAAGTAAATACTTTTCAAGATGGGATGCTCTAAAGAGCTGCATTTCATCTGTGCTCCTTTGATGATCCACTTGCTTTTGTTCCTTCAGAGTTGGAAAGTGAAATGCTTTCTGACCATCAGCTTCAGTAAGTATTATAGAAAAACAGATTAAATGTAGCACTTGTAATAGCTGTTTTCATACTTTTTTTTTTCTTTTATTTATTTTCCTAAAGGTCCAGAAGGGGCAAACCTCTTTATTTACCACCTCCCCCAGGAGTTTGGAGACCAGGACATTCTGCAGATGTTCATGCCTTTTGGAAATGTTATCTCGGCTAAAGTCTTCATTGACAAACAGACCAATTTGAGCAAGTGCTTTGGTATGTCAAATTTAATAAATCAAACAGTAAAAGCCACATGCACTATATTGAAAAGGGGGCAGGAAAGAAAATTAACAGCAATGTGAGAAATGTCATACTGGAAAATCATTCCAAAAACAATGGACTGTTAATCCTCAAATGAGCAGGAAGATGCACAGACAAACTACTTCTAACTAAAAATTGGATATGAAAAAAAAGAATAATAATCTTCCAGTCTGACATCTTGCATGAATGTGTCAAGTACATGAAACTAATTACACCCTATGTGGGGGAATGTCATTTAGTATACTATTAAATTGCCTTATTATGGATACTTAATTATTCTCTATTGTATAGTTGAGCCACTTAAAAAAGCTCTATGTTTAACCCATTGCTTCTACATTTCAGGAATTTCTTTCTTCTGAATTAAGTACAAGATTTTGCAATTAGTGACTGAATGGTGTGTACATGTAGTTCAGAATATTTTGCAGACAGTTGATGTCTAGATATGCAGCTCCAGCTGTTGTGGATGGGTTCCAGTGTATTATGGAAGGTGGTATTTCCCTTACCTTAGGGCAAGGATGAAGAGCCTCACTAGATCAGTGTCAAGTTTCCCAGAGAATACTTTGAGCTGTCAGAAAATTAGATCACAGCAGAGGAAGAGATGATGTGCTGGTATAAAAATAGTTTTAGGGTTGATTAAGAGGGCTGATGTCTTTGGAATAGCAGAGATGTACCAGTTCAGTGCTTTGATGGAGTGGAGCAGAGAATGTGAGTGGTAAACTTCTGGAGCGTTGGTCTAATAATTATGGTCTTATACAAGACACAGGGAGGATTTAGGAGGAGGAAGGAATCTCTTAAACATGAGTTTTATAAGGGTTGACAATTGTAATAAAAAAATTGAAAATTGTAATTGTAAAATATTGTAATTTCCTTAAAAGTGGCGATTCTTTCCCAGAGTATAGGAATGCAACTGTATATATGACAAAAGGGGATTGGATAGTACACTTGGAAAGTTGATTCAGTTCACAGAAAGAGGTGACATTCTTTCTGCTTTTTCTCACAGTCTGACAGTTCATTTTTGAAGCATTCACCTATTTAGGCTTTACAAAAAATTATTCATATCTAGACTAGTATAGTCCAGCCTGTGTCTGCAATGGGTTAAAGCAGTCTCTGAGGCTCTTGCAAATTTGAAAAGTGGAATTGAAATGGACTCCCCATTGATCTGGAGCCAGTTCTGTTAGTATGTTGGGGTTACAAAATCGTTGTTGAGGTCTCCAGGAATCTTGATGAAATGTCAAATCAAGCTACGTTAATCGAAATGCAGCAATTGTGGTGACTGCTGAAAGAATGTAAATTAGTTTGGGCAGGTGGCTCAATTCATCAGATCATTTCCCACACTTGATTTTTGTGCATTTTCTTTTACTCTTTGATTACCTTCTTACACATTTTCCTGGGTTTGTGAGACACAATTGCCTGACATAAAGTGATCTTCTTAAAGGGAATAAAGTTATCTTCTTTAAGGGAAAATGGAGGTGTCAACACCCAACAGATGGAGGAATCCTCTGTCTTTTTGGTTTTAGGCAGCTTTCACTGATATTTCCATTTCTCAGTCTTCCTTCCCAGATACTCTGCCACCAGGGAGGGAGCTCTGCTTTAAAAACAAAAAGTAGAAGTGGCAGATGAAGCTGATTTTTCCGATTTAGTGGGTGACTACTTTGTGATGCTGCAAATCACAGGCAAAGCCAGAATTAGTCCTGCTAGCTTAATGTACTTGCACAGTCTGCATGCACCTCCTCAGCTTTATTAGCAAGAATTACCTATTTGTTGTTTTAGTCCTATATTTGTGTTTCAAAAAGCTTTTTTTTTTTCTGTCCTCCCACCCAAAAACTATGACATTAGTGCCACTGAAGAACCCATTTCTCTGCTGAATCATTAATGGTCATTACACTTGGTACAGTTTGAGTTTTGTTTTTTTATTTGTTGGTTTGGTTTGGTCTTTTTGCCGCTAGTAATAGTAATTATAACAGTAATAGTAATATAAATTATATTAGTAATAGTAATTATAACAGTAATTGTAATTGCAATAGTTTGCACATACTTAGGGTTTCCTACTCTGGAGTTTCCAATCTCCTGCCCAAAGGAGGAGGAAATCAAATTACAGACGAGAACAGGTTGAACATCCAAAAGGTGTAAAGATTATCTAAGTCTGTCCACTGGCAGAAATGAGAAGGGAAGGTTCATTCTGAGTGAGTGATAGACAGTGATGAATCTTTATGTAAAAATGAAAAATTCCTTTTCTTTGCAGAAAAAGGACTTAGGCATATTTTCTTTTCTTGTCCAAACCACAATGAATGCTCAAAGGATTAAATTATGATGAGGATGACAGGACAGTGTGTTTACACCTGGAAGTACTCTTCCATGAGTTCTCATGTGCTCCATGGGCTTTAGTTGACTCAGCAGACAAAGAGTTTCACTCTGCAAGCTTATCTCTTGCCTTTCATAATCCTTATAATAAGAAAAATGAGATATGTAAGTAAGGCAGAGGAGGGGGGACCCAGTTACATCAGAGCAGAAATGCAGACGGCCTTACAGCAAAATTGTTACTTGAATGATGAAAATTATTTATCCTGATTATAGAGATACCTAAAGATCTAAAGCAAAAATCAGAGTTGTCATGACAGGGTCTTTGAGAATTAGTAAGAAACATCATTCCAACTTCATGTAACCTGTGAATTAAAATTCAGACAAAAATGGTGAATGGGTACAATCAGAAAAATACAAATAAAGGGAAGGAATTCCAGATTCCTCAGTATGCTTTATAAATGTAGGTTCTCAATAAGGAAGAAGATGAGAGCATAACAAGCTAATGTAGATACTGCATTCTGTGTAAAGAGACAAACTGTGTATCAGAATAACAGTTGAATGTCAGGGGCTGATGCCAGCAGTGTGCTTCCTTCTCTTCATTCACCATCCACATGCATGTGACTAGTTTAGATCACTTGCTTACTTTCCAGGTGGATAAAACTAGGTAAAAAAGAAAGGAACTACAGTGATGATAAGTTCATAGCAATAATATGCACTTAGGAGAATAAAGTGAAGGTCAGGAAAGCTGTAGAGGGAAATGCTGAATTGCCAAGGTAGGTAGGAGTAGCTATAGCTCAGTTGTGGAGCATCTGCTTGAACAGTGCTACAGCTGCCTCCCAACTCATGCTAGTTCCCTTTTCTATCCCTGAGGCAATCCTAGAGCCAATGGAAGGAGACACAGGACATAGAGCAAAGATAATGACTGGAGTCATGTGAACAGATATCCTAGAACCAAATAGGGGAAAGAAAGAAAGGAAGAGACTGATGAAGCTCCTTAGGATTTGGCAATAAATTTAAGAGGGAATGATCTCAGGGAGAAAGTGGGGAAGTAGCAAGAGTTACTAAAACCAAGGAAGGTATGGAGGAATATTTATTGTCCCTTAAGCAGGTAACAAGTAACGAGCCACATGACAATATGGATAGAGCATATTGGCTTTGGCCAGGAGAAGGTCTGCAGAGATTTAAATGAGAGGTAATTTTGAGTGGAAGGAACAGAAGTCAGAGAAGAGTCTTAACTTAAATAGTTTGGTGAAGTTGATTTAAGGTGAAGCCACAGGGATGATCTATGAAAGAGAACAGCTGGACAAGGATACCTTGATAAGGGGGGAGGATTTCATGCAGTGGGTAAAGTGTAATAACACTGACTCTGCAATTGGAAGAGGGCAGCAGTGCAAGAGCCATGAAAGGATAGATTAAAGTAATGGTAAAAAGAGGTTATGAATCCAAGAAGTACACAGACCCTAAGCACAAATTAATAAAGCTGGTTGGTGAAAGAGAGGTACTGAGAAACCTGTGCATTGGGACTGAAGACAAAGCATGTGGCATCAATGCTTTAGGAGTGTGAAGGGATATATGTTAAGGCAAATTCGAGTGGAAAGAAGAGGGAGCATTTCAAAGCAGATGCATAACAGCAGGCTGAGTACAGTAATAATTAGCCTGAGCTGAGGCAGAGCAGCAGTTAGGCAAGCTTTGCAATTACAAGTGGGAGGCCCAGATATGAAAATGAACTTTGAGCTTCCAGAATCACTGAGATTTGAATATATTATGAGCAGAACATTTTCAGTCTCCCAGGGAAAAGAAATCTGAGCCAGTCCAGCCATTCTGAATTACCCAAGCAAGCATTATCCTCCTAGTTAGTGCTCACACACGAGGAGCAGATCTTGGAATTCTCATCAAACCCTACCATTGTCTTTATGATGCTGCTTAATTTTGATGTTTGTGTGCTCCTTTGGGGACTAAGAGACTGAATTAACTAACATTCAGGTACCCTGAGATCTTGAACTGCAAGGAGCTGTAAAATTACAAAATATTAATATTGCAACTGTCCTAGGCCAAGCCCAAGGAAATGAGTGTTCCATAGCACACATGAACTCACACCCACGTGTGCCAGTGGGTTTAGGCAGTTTAGAGGTTGCTTCTGTAAGCAGGCTTGCTGTTTCAGCTTCCCTTTTGCAGACTGGCCTAAATAGCACTTCCTAATAGACTGGGAGGTATGTAGATACTACATTGAAAAGTGTTACAGTAATAAATATCTTCAGTCTCTTAGGTAGGTAGATAAATAACAGAATGGAAACTGCACTGCACCAAAATTGGCCAACTGCATCCCAGCTAGTAAAGAAATATTCTGAAAGTAAAGAGGAAGGCAAAAGGAAACAGGAGAGGAAATGGGATATGAAACATGATCAAAGAATTAATTGAAAGCAGGATAAATGTGTCAAATAAATAGCAATCATAAAATTCTAACAAAATGCCTTCTGACATTTGTTGTAACCTAGAGCTGACTGTGTCTCCTGCTGTGTTCTGTGTCTCACAGGTTTTGTTAGCTATGACAATCCGGTCTCTGCACAAGCTGCTATCCAGGCTATGAACGGCTTTCAGATTGGCATGAAACGCTTGAAGGTTCAGCTGAAACGCTCCAAAAATGACAGCAAACCTTACTGATCTTAACCCCAGATGCTTACTGCTCTTATTTTAGCTTTCTTAGGGTAAGTCCCATGAGAAAACCTGTCCTCTGCAGGGGGGTTAAGAAAGAACATAGAGCCAACCTTCACCAAGAGACAGTTATTTTTACAGTTACCACTTCCATCTCCCCACTTGTCCTTACTACACTTGGCTCCCATTTCCTAGCCAAGTAATTACTGAGTTGTGTTACTGTATTTTGTTTTGCAGCATAATTTATCTCCTTTTTGAAACAAAAATAAACGTCTTGAAATTCCAAACAGCACACACACACACAGACACAAAAAAAAATGTGCAATTTAACTCTGTGAACCCTGGTGCCATTAGCACACAATAAAAGTTGTTTTCTATGGATGGATCGTATTTTACCAGGGTGGCACCAGCAGTTTATAGGTTAAACAAAATGGCCTCATGCCAGTTGAAGCACTTATTTTGCAACAAAAATTGAAACAAGTCTTTCCACTACATCAACTTGTTTTTTGAGAAGATCTGATTTTTTTTTCGGTTCAAATCAACGTATTGTTATATATTAGTCTGATTTTACACTGGTCGTCTTTATATTTCATTTTTTTTAAGTTCTTGTTTTTTTGGAAAGGATTAATGTAAAAAAGATTTAGAGATCTGTTTCTAAAGCTACAGGGTTTAAAATAAAAAAAATAAAATAAAATGAGTGACAATACTTGATGTTTCTTGAGAGATAAATTTAATAATAATAAAAAAAAGAAAGCCACAGGCCTGTAAATTTTATTTGTAAAAAGCATTTCTATTTTTATACAAAATTTTTACTGCCTCAGAAATAATGGAATTTATTTATTGCCTATTGTTAACTTATTGGATACCTAAAGAGCAGCTCTCTATGCTAGCTAGATCCTTTGAAGTAGTCTCTAGAGTAATTGTGCCAAGAATGGGCGCTTTTTCACTGTTGAACCCTCCACCCTTTGCAGTTCATGCTTTTATCCTCTTGTTTGTATTTGTCTGGTTATTTTGTTCGTAGTTTCCATTACCTAGTTTAAAGTTCAGTTGTCTGACCCTTTTTCCCCCCCTTCTCCCTGAACCTTTCTGTTACATTTGTAGAAACTGGTTCTTTCCTCTCTTTTCTCCCCAAAGAGGAATCCATTTTCTCTGACTCCTTTCAGATGGATTCTTTTGGGGTTCCATTGTGTTCTTGTTGACAAGTATTGTAAGTTAATGCAAATTATGTGAATGGCTCGTAGGCTCTACTGATAAAAGATTTGCATTAGTTTTCTCCTGCACCCATAAAAGTGATTTTGTTTGTGCTGCATAGATTCTGTGTAACTTTTTTTCCTCTTCCTTGTTTTTTCCCTAGACATCTCCATGCCCGTTAGCCCATCGTTTGCCTAGCATGTCCCTGTGGCGTCTCAAAAAAAAAAAAAGTTTCATCGTCCCGTCATTGTTTCTGATGTCTTTCTGACCTCACATCATATTTGGTTCTCCTACTGACCTAGTTTGACCTTTGAAATTTGCATGTGACCTCATCTAGCTATGAATTCTGGGAAGTCAATGTGAAAAAACATTGCTGCATTCATGCAAGACTGAAATTTATTATTAGATAAATTAATGATAGGATTTAAAAACAACCTGTGGCAAAATGTTTTTTCTTTCTTTCCTTTTTTTCTTTTTTAGTTTTGGTTTTCTTCTTTCCTTGGAGTTTTTGTTTCGTTTTGTTTGGGTTTTTTTGTTTTGGGTTTTTTTCTTGGTTGATTTTTTGTTTTGTTTTGTTTTTTTTCATTTCGTAAAAAAAAAATAAAAAAAAAACAGACTTGAAAGTATTATACAGGGATTGGCATTCTGCCTGGTCACTGGTGACAATAGCAATATGTGTCCAGAGGCACAGAATGTTGGTTTCTAACAGACTACTTCCAAAACAGTTTGAGAAATAAAACTGTCTGATTTTAAGTCTCTAGAGGTCTGTAATAGTTTTTACATTTTTCAGGCAGTGTAAAGTTTTTTGATAAGGCCATTTTAGGTGGCTCACTTTCTCATTAAAGTATATATATAGAACCACTTTTTGTAGATTAGTATAAGAAAATATTTACCCTGTTTTAGGGCAAATGCTACCTACTTGTGTCACCTTTTGCTGAACTGACTCACAGTTAGACAATCCATGGTTTAATGCACATGAAATTACCTATATTTTATACTGTTTCAATGTACAGAAGAAAGGTTACTGTAAAATGTGTTACGTTGGTGCTTCTGTGAATTAAGTTGTGGTTTCATCATGAGTCTTATGGTCTTAAGTGTTCTATGTTTATAAAAAGACAAGTTTAAAATTGGTTTACTTGAACAACAAGAACAAAAAGAAGATTCAAAAAAAAAAACAAAAAAAAAAGTTGTTTGCTTAAAAAAAAAATTTCATGTGAAAATGAAAAAATATTCCAGAATAAGTTTGTGTTGGCTTGTGACGCATTGATGTCATTTTTTTATTGTGAACAATTTAGGTGTGTTTGTGTTCAGCAAAATGTGATCAGTTTTTCTTTTAAAGAAAAAAAAATCAGTGAAACTATAGTGCCAAATTCCAAAGGTACTTTCTTCCTAGAGCTTCAGTGTGTTTCTTGTGTGAAGTAATTTGATAACATGGGTATTTTATTATGTGTTTTGTATAAATCCCTAATATTTAAAGAAAAAAAGAGGTTAAAAAGTTTGTTAACTTGCTATCCTGTGGTCTTGTTGCCTGAAATTGTTATTGTTTGTTATTTCTCTTTGATGTTTTTTGTAAAACATTGTATAAGTGCCCATGTTTCACTTTTTTAACCACTCTGCACACATCAATGCTGTGAAAGCAAACCTCACTATGTATTTTCTTCATATTGTATGGAAACCTCTAAGGTGAGAAAGTTTTGAACTTTTAACCCTTTCCACCCAGAGCTGTCTTGAGTGTTAATACCTTTTATACATTCACCATTTTGCTGTTTATTTTTATATATATATCTATATCTATAAATATATATATACTTAGTTTTTTGTGGTTTATTTAATACATGGTTGAAATCAGAACAATGCACAGGGCAGATCTGAAGGACAAAAATATTTTACTGCTGTCTAAATTTCTTCTGTATCTATAACTAAAATTATTTAAAACCGTAATTAACTTGTGGTTTTCCTTTTTAGATTTTGGGGATTTTGTCTTTTCTTAAAGAGCTTTTAATATGCTGCTGGAATATGCTATTCAGTATTAATAAAATAAAAGAAAAAGAAAACAATTCTTTAATTATCTATTGTGTGAGCCACTCCCAGCCAGGAGTGGTCAACCCACCATTTGAAAACCTTGAGGAGAAAAAAAAAAAAACAGAATAATAATATTTTTGTAATTTAAATAAATGAACTTTTGCTTAAATCAGATGCACTAGATCTTCCTGGGTGAAAATTCAGTGTGCACTGCAGTTAAACTACTTTTTATGGATAAAGTTTACATACACTGTAATGTTTGGTGTTATTTGCCATTATTTGTCACGGCAATATATTGGCTTACTCCTGCAGACACTCGAACAGAGAGGAGTAACTTTACTCATAAGCATGGTCCATGGGAATATCTGTGTGACTGAGTGGGTGTTTGCTGGAGGAAGCTCTTTGTAAGGAACCAGAAAAGAGATGCTGGTAGCCCTTTTCACTGCCTTGTAAGTCTGATTGGGTTGCGTTTCTACCGCACAAACAACCAAATTCGGTTCTTTGCCACCGGTTTAGCGAATTCATTGCCAATCCAATGTGTGTGAGCAGCAGTACCTGCTACAGGTCATAAAGTGCCATACCTTCTTCCACCTCCTAGTTCTATCTGGTTATATCTGAAGCCACCTAAAATTAAAAATGAAGCCCTATATGAGCAACATCAGCTGGTGCACTCTTGTCTCTCATCCCCAACTTAAATGCTTCTTTATGTAGAGCCCTGGGATGGAAAGGACTAGCCTCTAGTGATGCAAAAAAATTTCCTTCTTATAGCACATGCACTTATAAATAAATGATCTATACTTTTCTCACGTTTTTACTACTGCTGGGGCCTTCCTACACCCTTTGAGGGCTATTTTGTACTACTTGCAGCAATTGTGCGTATTCAAAGTATCATCTCACGTACGTTATATTATATATATGTACATATATATATATAATATGAGATCATCATTTGGACTGTTTAGAGACTGTTTCACTAATTTTTCTCATTGTACCCACCGTCTAAATTTCCAAAGCTTTTGTAGATGCCCTGGTGTGTCCTGTGGGTTTTCCAGTCCAGTTAGAGCGGTGATGCCTCTGGTCCTTGGGCAGTGTAACTCAGCACCAGGCTGCCCTGAATTACTCCACGGGACATTGGCTTAGCAGTGGGAGACAAGGAATGTTTCTGTACTTCCAGGCAACTGAGTCATTGCTTTAAAAAACTGTCCATCTCTGGGAAAAAAAATTTAAAAAAAAATCAAAAATAAAAAATAAAATTCAAATACAAAACCAAAAACCCAAATGTACACCTCCTGGGAGGCAAATTATCTACCAGTTCTCTTTCAAAATAATGAAAGGAAAAAGCTGCAAGGGTGCAAGGGCCTAATAAGAGAGGAAGTAAAACAAGGGAAATTGCTTTACAAAATTCTAATCAAAAGACTAGACTAGTTGTTTTATCAAACAAATTAGCTAATTGCAATGAAATGGCAGTCCTCAAAGGAGTAACAAGTTCATCTTTCTTTCACCATAGGGGTTACAGTTCCTTGGCTTGTGCTACTCTGGAATCATTTTACTGTTTCTGTTTTTATTATCTTAAGTGCTAATTAACAAAAGGAAAAAAATATCCTGTAGTTTCATTACCTTTTTGGATAATGTCATACAAAAAGAAAAAAAAAAAAACAAACCTATGTATTTGTGTTTTTTTCGTGCTGTGGGAATTGTTGTTTGTAGATTAATAATACTATCATTTTGTTTAGAATTACAAACTAGTTTTTAAGTATTGTCTGAGAAAAGCCAAAGTTAATGCAATCTAGTGGAAACTGTAAGACCATTTGAGTATTGTTTCTGTTTTATTGATGCATTTGGATTTTGTTGTTTGATGGAATTTGAGCCAAAAAAAAAAAGAACAAAAAAAGGCAAAAAAAAAAAAAAAGCAGGCTTTCCTATTTCTACAACTTGATTGTACTTATGCATTTTGTACCAGTGGAAACTTTTTATACTGGAGATTAAAAAACAAATGGAAATTTTTGTGGCTTACTCTTGTGGGCCCCCTCGATCATGACTGATTTTCAAGTTTGATTTCTGGACGGTAGAAAGAGAGTTGGTTTTGTTTCGAGAATTCAAAACTTTGGCTTGATTTCTTTTTTTCCCTTTGCTTATATCTAGTGTTTAGAATTTTGTCTTAACAAAAGCGGTAAGTTTCACTTTTTATTCTGTATCGTGCAGTTACACAATAAGGTAATTAGAATTAGGAGTACTCGGTCACTTTGCGTGGATAAATGTATTAGTTAAAACGTTAGGGGTTTGCTTTTTTGCTGTTTAGATCAGAGTTTTTTCTGATTCTTCTGTCCTCATTGTGAACATAACCGTGTAGTTGAAACAGTCAGACTTATTTTTGTAACGTATGTTATTGTGTGATGCAGTTTTTTGCTTCTGTCTCCAATATTAAACCATTTTCCTAATACTTGTCTCTCTACTTTGTGTGTTGTATTGTTGGTGGTCATTCTGTGTTGGTAATACATCTGCACACCTCACTGTTTCACGTGCCTGTTTTTTTTTTTTTTCCTCTATTTGTTGGTTGTGTACAAAAGATACAGTCGATTCCACCTAAGTGAATAGCTGATTGGGGGGCAAAAGAGGATTTGTACATTTTAGACATGTTCTGGTTTCTTTGATTTTTTTTTTCTCTCTTCCTCCCCCTAGTCATGCCTTATCACTTGGATAATCTCTTGGAGCAGGAAGCATTTTAATTGAGTTTCCTGCAAAGTCCTATTGAAGGTAGCTTTTGTTAGCCTTCAAACTGCAAAACCTTCTGCACACAAACACACAGAAGACACCTGAAAAGATTTTTTTTTGCTGTGGCATTTCAGTCAGTCTAGAAAATGTGGATTATGGAGATCATTTCTTCCTAGTTGTTAAAAAAATAATAATAATACTCTGCCACTACATTGCAGAAGCATATGAAACATTCAAGAAAAAGAGGATATAGCCTTGGGATTTTTTCCAAACTGCACAGCAATCTGATGGCATATGGCGTTAGTCAAACTCTCCCTAGAAACTAATCATGTCTTAACTAGGGCTGGGAGAGTCTGCAAAATCTTACCAGGTGATCAAGCTTGTTATGTGCAGTTGTATATGTAATACTTTAAAAAATATAACAAAATCCAAGTGAGCACAGGAAGATTTTCTACTAAAGCCAGTGGAAGCAAAAAAGAAAAAAGAACCCAACAAAATAAAAAGAAGGAGAAATAAATGATGGAAAAAAGATCCCCCGTTTTTCCACTGGGTGATATTTTTGCTGTGGGCTTACAAAGCAGATCATTCTCAGCACTGGCTGATAGTATTACACAAATCTCAAAAGGGACTAAAGAAATACCATAGCATTTCTTTTTTCATAATTTTTTACATTTGGCTCTTAGCTTTTTTATTCTTTCCTTTCCTATAATTTTTCCTCCTCGCAAGAATCTCTGCTCTCCCCCAAATGGTGTCTACCACAATGAAATAAAAGCTGCAAAAGAAAAATCTATGTTGTTCTGGTTTACAGAAAGTCTCTTCTCTCCTCTGATCACAGATACAAACCTTACAATTTGGAGAGGGGGGGAATAAAAACAAAACAAAACCAACCAAACCAAACCCAAGGAGGAGAGAGAAGCACTGGCGAGTGCTCTCTGGAATTCAAGCCATACGTCCCCATCCCTTTCCTTTGTCCCACTTTCTGTGATGCTCAGGAATCAAAGACCACTTAAAAGTGCTCTTATGAGACCCAAATGACACTCCTCCCTCTTGTCTCCTCTCCCCTGGTCTTTCTGGCGCTCTGGCTTTGGCTCACACACTCACACAGCCCCATCAACACCGTCCGACAAGGTCCTGGCGCACTGGGTGTATCCGTGTGGTGTCAGCAGCAACGTTGGTTCCTGCATTTGGAAGACTTTTGAAATTTTCTGGTGGCTTGTGAGTTGGCCTGGTTGTTACTGCTCGATCTATTTTTCTAAATTTTTCTTTTTTTTTTTTCCTTTTTTTTCACTTTTCCGTTTCCGTGAGAAGCAAACAAGTGATGAGTCTAGAGCCCCCAACAAGCTCCAGTGCCGTCCTGCAGGGTCTGTTATCACAGGTCAGGGGTCCAAGCAGCTCCAGGTTCAACCTAAAACCACAGGAGCCTGTAGCAGACAGCCCAGGCAGGAAAGCAGAACCCGATGGTCAGACTATATCTTGGGTCTTTGACACCTCTAGAGTTTATGATCTCGAGTTGGATAATTTTGACACCAGTGGATTCAGTTAAGTAAGTCTTGACTTGCATGATGGATAAGTCAGAATTGCTCTCTGGGGTTTTTTTAGCTTGCTGTGGATGTTTTCTTTTTTTTTCTTTTCTCTTTTTTTCCTCCAAACTTGGTCTTAGGAAAGGAACTAAAGCTTTGTGAAGGGTCTTTTCTTCCAAAAATACAACTGAAAAAAAAAGACTTATACTGCAGTTAGGTTTCTTTTAAATACTCAGGGCTGAAAGATACAGGGTTTTCTTTCTTTCTTTCTTTTTTTTTTAATTTCAACAATGGGGGGAAAATGAGTTCCTTAAAGCAATGCAGCTGAGCAGTTTGTCCTGCTTAAACACATGCTTTTAATTTCAATTATGTAAGGCACCTTGCAGTGTTAGCAAAATGTCTCTTTGTTAGCTATATGTGTATCGCCATGGGAAATTACCAAACTGTCACAAGACTCGCTGATTAAAGAATAGCCTGCCAGAGTGTGTGTGCCTTTGCCCAGTGTGACTCTTAGGTATTAGGCTAAGGAAAACAGTTTAACAAAATGTAGTGTGAATCATTCCTGATAAGTGAATAAAGCATTGTGACCAAGCAATCAGATTATTCACTTATCAGGAATCGACTGTACTGATAGTTTGCCTGATCGTTTTTGTTCCTCATCTCTGTTGTAGTTTCACTACTTTGCTGTGTTCTGTTTTTTCTCTCATGCTCTTAGCAAAATCACTGGGAATATCCCTTCGTGTGATCATGAAACGTGCTACTGAGTAACAAATAAAAAAAAAAATTAAATATAAAAATGATATCTTAACAAAATCTATGCACTTGCTATCAGGAACACAATACTGGATGTGTCTTATATATATTGAACTATAATAGTATTCGATTTCTTAAATAAAGCTTAAGAAAGGATTCTGTTGTCTGTAAAATTTTATGAGCATTAAATGGAAAAAAAATGTTTCTAGGGTTGGGCGCTTTTTGTTATATGAAATCTTCCTGGGTATTTGGTCTTTAACCACACCCAGGCAAATGTTAACTAATTCGCTTGATATTTCATTAATAATGGAGACTTTGAAAATTAGGCTTACTGAAATCTGTGGGGAGAAAAAGTCTTGCCATTCAGTGACTTACAGCAAAAGATTCTAAGATGCAGAAATTTTGATCTCTTTCTGTATTTGCAGAAGCAAACATGCTTAGTTTTGCACTAAAATAAAAAAAATGGGTAAAATATGTAAATCAGAAAATGTCATAAAACAATACAATACTGTACTTTTTGGCATATGACTTTTTTTCCTCCCGATTCTAGATAGGTTTAGAGTTAAAAAATGAAAACCCGTATGCTCAAAATTCCACAGATTCCACACTGGAGGTCAAAGCACCTTTTTGGGGAAGATGTATGGCTTACTGTACGTTTCCTGTATTGAGCCTTCTCTTAAAAAATAACATTTTCACATCAAAAAACATGAATTAAATGGGAATTGAATAGGTAAAACTGTTGAGTACACTGAAAAAAATTGTTTAAAATCTACAATTTTGTGGCAATTATACAGCCATTGAAGGAATAATCTGATTTTTATGGAAATGGCCATAATTCTTGTATTTATCAAACTTTCAATAATGTCAGCCTTTGGCAGAAAGATCCAGGAGAATGAGGGGAGGGGAGGGAGAGGGGTTGCTTTCTTTTTTTCTTTTGAACTGCATTACTGCCTCACTTTTCATATGCCATTATATTATCTGAAAAAAAAAATTAAATTGTGGAAATCTTATCTGCTGCTTGTATCATTCTATTCACGCATATTTTGTAAATGTTACTGAGCTCAACATCCAGTGGCCAGGTGTGTCAGCCTTGTAAGCCAAAAGCACTGCTCCACCAGAGAGGTCACAGGGAAGATTTGCCTTGGTGGGCAGCAGGATGGTCCTGCCCATCCCACATCAGCACAGTGCTCAGGTGGGAACCGTGTCTTGCTTTTCAAGGGCTGCTGATATAACACAAATATTAAGTAATTGCAATGATTAGCTCATATTTGTATTCCCTCTGATTTTCCTCATTAGCAGACTTTCTTTTTTTTTCCATTAAAGGGAACTGGAAAGTTGCAGTCATTTTCTGAATCATTTGCCCCTGTTGATAACCTAATTGTTTTACATGAATGCTAATATTTCCCTCTCACACATTTATATCTATCAGCTAAATCAGCAGTAAAGTAAACTCTTCTGGGATACATTCCTATATCAATTAGCAAGGATTTATGCTCCAAAGCACCATTAGCATTAATGGGAGTGTGCTCTTTAGCATAAACAATTGGCAATAGGTCTGGTGGACTTTATTTCATAAACAAAGGAGCATTTGAATCTTAGAGACTTGTTTCCTCAAGACGGCACTTCAGGGAGTGATGCCCCAGCCTCCCCGGCTGCTCTGGGGACATCTCACTCACAGGACATGCATAAATTCCGGAGTTGCCAGCAGAAGGAGACAGTCTCAGTTTGGAAAGTGGGCTGACTTTGAGCACAAAGTTTTGCTGGCGTTTTCCCTTCTGAAAACCTGCCTGAGAACATACCAGGCAAAATTATCAGCATTATCTCCTGTGCCTCCAACCAACAGCTTGAGAAATTTCGTTCACTGAAATGCATGTAGTGCCTCAGGATGGAGACTACAGAGGGGAGGGAGGGAATTTGGGAAGAGGCAGGAGGAAAAGCAGAGATGAAGCCTGTTGGAAAGCCACCGGTGGGTCCATCAGCTCCTTCAACTGGCAGCCTCACAGCTCCATGGCTTTCAGTAGAGAGCTAGAGGGGACAAGTAATCACCAAGTTTTACGTGTAGGTCAACAGTTTCTCCCTCACCCCATGTTTGATGAGCAAATACACAATCAGAATATTTCAATCTTAATCTGAAGGTACTGGGAGCTGGGGCAAAAGCCCACCACTTCCCAGAGGTGCACAATCTGCTGAATCCTTGCCCGTGCTTCTGCAGATGTTTTCTCTGTAGGTTTTGGCTTTGCTCAGTTCTGCTACATTAAAGAGCCCTTCTACATCTGCCATTTCCCCCCAAAGGCACTCATAAACAGGTCTCAAGTTGCTTTTCATCCCTCGTTCATAAAATAAATATATCATGCTCTGGAAGCATCCACACACAATAGTGGTTTTCAGTCCCTGAATAATTCGTGTGCTGTATTTCTACAGCTTTTTTTTTTTTCCTGGACATTCTTTCTAAATTTGGGTTACCAGAGCCAGATAGGTTATTTCAACATCAAGTGGTGCAATATGCAGAAATTAAAAATTTCATCCCTACTCTATTCCTCTGAACGACACAGTCAGGGTTAGTGTCAACACCTCCAAAAATAACATACAAAAGCCACAAAACACCACATTAGCAGAATCATTTGGAGTAGCTCCTTTAGGATGCTGAAATCCCACTGGGATGCATTGCACTCCAGGTTCCTGTATGTGTGGTCTGCTTGCCTGTTCTTCTACTGGAAAGCTTCCTTACAACCACACTGAGAGCATTTCTGTATAACTCCTAGTCCCCTCCAACATTTTCCAATGTCATCAGCAGTTTTGATATTTACTTCCAAGTCATAATTGAAGATATTCAATAGCATTCAGACCCCCTCTAAAAAAACCACTCTCCTACAGTGAGTCTCCTTTGACAGCTTCTTTGTTGACATGTCAGCCCATTCTTAATCCATTTTATGTGCCTTATATTGATAGGGTAGAATGCTAATTTTTTAATCAGAATCTGTTGTGCTGTCAAACATACAAAAGTCAGAATATATTCCATCTTTGCAATTACTTTTATCAGCCAAAACCTACAATCACATCAAAGAATGAAATCCAGTTTGACAGCCCTTCCTCCCTTAAAAAACATGTTGATTGGCATTAATTGTTTACCTCATCTTTAATGTCTTTATACCCATATCAATATGTCCATTATTTTGCCAAAGTAATGTCAAACTAGCCAACCAT